AACCGGACAGAAGGTTGGGAGTTCCCAAAGACTTACTTACCCTTACTCCGGAGGGAGGCAACAGGGGGTGGGGCCCGGCAGACCGATGCAAGTCTCGGGCCTAGTCCCACGCTCTTGCGAGATTAGGCCACTCCGTGAACAAGATGGACTGATAGCCATCGAAAATTTGGAGGTTAGTATCCTTATCCTTCCAAAGTTGTCACTGATGAAAGAATTCACTAGGAACTGTATCTATACGTGACAAATGAATCTCTTCAACGATATTCGCCATGTTGATTTGCTTATATGGATGACATCCACGTGCGCATGAATTTTTGTCCGTTTCCCCCCAAAAAACTTTCATTGATAATCTACTTTAATGTCATTTCTGTTCTTGATTACTAGTATGTATTGGAAAGGAATGGTTCATTTTTGGTATGGTCAAAAAATATTTTTTGACCATACTGTAAATTGATGAGCAAATAAATGCCATAAATCATAAAAGAAATATTGGAAAACAATACTAATGTCATAGAATGCCAAAATCAGATAAAATTAAATGTGAAGAAATCAAAATGAGAAGTCAATCATTTGCAATACCATACTCTGTGTGTTTAGTCATTTGTCCAACCTTCTTTTTTTATTTCCAAACTTGTGTCAGTTTAAGGCTAATCCTAGAGGATGTCACCCATATACATTGTACTAGTAATCAAATCAACATGGCCTTAGGCCACACCAATTTAATTTCTTGGTTAACGGATTCGCCGCTTCATTTTTTTCTGATTTCCAAATAAAAATAAAAATTCAGAATCAACTGCAAAATGCTCATATTTTGCCCTGAACAGTTGCAAACAGTCCTTTTCTTCCTAGTTGTTACAGTTATTCCATATTTCAACGCAATGGTTTAAATTTTGAACCAGCCTGGTGGGTTGACTTCATGGCTCCTATCGTACCATTTTGGGCTATAATAGGATGCCTAGGCCTGTTTTTATTTTTATTTTTTTTCGCCCGCCCGCTCCATTATTTTTCTAGAAAAATCCGTTAACCAAGAAATTAAATTGGTGTGGCCTTAGTGGGAAGTATGTAGCCTGGGTGCCATCCTGATTAGCTATTGTCTCCGCAGATTGGAGTGTGACAAACTGACCAAAATTATATTAAAGAATAATCGAATGTAGGTCAATGTTGGAGTTAGCATTGGCCAATGTACAGCATAAAGATAGGTTTTAGCATAGTGAATTTGAGAATAGTAGGAATTCCTCCATAAATTGAGAAATTGTTGAAAATACAAAAATAATGATCATACCACCACCAACTGTTGTTTCACACAAAGTCATGAAAAAGCTACAGCACTGGGCCCTACAAGTATAATATTAGACTTGAATTTGTGATGAGTGAATTGCCACAATTAGTTTCATTTTATGATAGTTATAATAAGATGAAGTTATGATTAGATAATCATTTGGTATTTTTGTTGAAAATAAAAACTAAGGTTATTTTGGACTCACCCACTATAAGTAATGAATGGTCCACCCCAACATGGAAAGGAAAGTTATGATATTTGAATGAGAGTTTGACATGCATATAAAACTGAACAACATATACAAAAACTGTGACAAAGTGCATGATTTCCTTAAAATCAAAATACTGTTTACCTCATACATGTACATGCACTGGTGCAGATAACATTGAAAATTACCAGACAAATTTTACCTCCACTATTCATACTTTGAGAAGTATAGATAATACTAAACATTGTTAAGAAGCCATTGCAGATTATTTCTTTTATACTTCTATAGGTGGTAACAGTGGATGCAGCAAATAAAAATCCACATTCACCTACATTTGTATATAAACCCATAACAAGGACAGGTGCAGGTTAGGTGCAGGTAGACATCAGAAATACCTGCACAGCTCCAATTTTACCTGCACTAACCTGCATATACCCAGTACATGGACCAGTGCAGGTTACATGTAGGTGCAGGCAGACATCAGAAATACCTGCACAGCTCCAATTTTACCTGCACTAACCTGCATATACCCAGTACATGGAGCAGTGCAGGTTAGGTGCAGGTAGACATCAGAAATACCTGCACAGCTCCAATTTTACCTGCACTAACCTGCATATACATGGACTGGTGCAGGTTAGCTGAAGTTAGACATCAGAAATACACCTGCAAAGCTCCAATTTTACCTGCACTAACCTGCATATACCCAGTGCAGGTTAGGTGCAGGTAGACATCAGAAAGTTTCAAATTGACCTGAACCAAGGGCATATACACCCAGTATTTTGAGCCCTAGAGCGGTAACCAAGAAGTATGCATACTTACCCTCTGTCATACAGTATACAGTATGGCAGGTACAGGGATCTCAGGAACCCCCACACATCATGGTATGTGAACTCCTGTCAACACAACAACAAAAACTTTACTATTCAATGCAGCAATTAATGTTCAGTATTCCAAAAACGTTCTAAAACCAGGCAACAAAACAATCATACTCTCTCTTCTCTCTTGACTCTCTTAACTTGAGTCAACCTTTAAAGTAACATTAGGCCACACCAATTTAATTTCTTGGTTAACAGATTCGCCCGCTTCATTTTTTTCTGATTTGCAAATAAAAATAGAAATTCAGAATCAACTGCAAAATGCTCATATTTTGCCGAACAGTTGAAAACAGTCCTTTTCTTCCTAGTTGTTACAGTTATTTCATCTTTCAATGTAGTGGTATCATTAAAAGTTCAAAATTCATTGTTTAAATTTTGAACCAGCCTGGTGTGTTGACTTCATGGCTCCTATCTTACCAATTTGGGCCATAATAGGATGCCTAGGCCTGTTTATGGGTTCACCACACCACGAAGTGGTGTGGTGAAACCATATTGCTTTTTCTGATGTTTCTTCTCCTTCTTCTTCTCCTCCTTCTCCTGCCATTTTTTAAATGGATTCAGCTTCTTCATTTTAGGGCCTAAGGTCCTGAAATTTGGTATGGAGGTACAGTGGGCAAATACCCCTAGGCGTTTTTTAAATTATTGTGATACAGGCTTTTTGAATGGTTTTATTTGAGTTTTTTGGCTGTGTTATAGCAAATGTATTACTGTGTTAGTTTGCCTTGTTTACCACGTTTGGGCATGAGTCATCACAATGGAATGCAGGGCATCAACCAATAGGCATGCAGCTTTCCTCTATACTTCTTGCTGATTGGCTGTTGGGATTTAACTTGATTAACACCTGCACAGAAGCATTTCCATACTGACAGTATGTCTGTATTCAAGTGTTTTGGTAGGTATTTCAAGCTTTCCTGCTCCAGCATTGAGAATGCCGGGCATGGACGTTTTTTTTTTATTTTGAAAATCAACAGTTTGCATTATGCAATTAAAAATCCTAACCAATAAAGTAAGGAATAGCTATCCAACTGTTGTTTTAGTTGTATTTTACTTCATATTATAGTTATATCAATGTAAATCATTGTTTTCCCTTGTGTTTCTCATTCTTTCCCTGCCATGTGGTAAAATGTGGTGAACCCATCGCTGTATTTGCTCCAAAGCAAATATTGGCCTTTCTAGTTTTATTTTGTTTTCGCCCGCCCGCTCCATTATTTTTCTAGAAAAATCCGTTAACCAAGAAATTAAATTGGTGTGGCCTTAGTTTTATCTGTGTGACTTTTCAGTTGTCCACTTGTCTGACTTAAAGAATGGGCTTATCAACAGTTGACAGGTAGCTAACAGGTTTGTGATCTTATTAGTCATTGTCAGTATCAGTAAAAATGTGGTGTTGACCAGCATGTACCTGAGTGTATGGAGTACCAGACTAAGCACCGTGGGTTCAAAACAGTAAAATTTAGCCAAATAAGGAATTGATTTACCAGGGAGTTTAAGCCACTGTAGAGTTTATTTGCCCGCATCTCGTTAGGGGAAATTGACCTTCTTGTGGACTGACTCTCCTGGCCAATAGACCCATTCGACTTTCACGAATCGCATAAACTGCTTACGTCACAGGGGGGACATTTCGAATAGAAATACGTCACAGGGGGGACATTTTGAAAGTTCCTTTCACGGATCGCATAAACTGCGTACGTCACAGAACAAAATAACCTTAAATTGTTGTATGGAATGCCACCATACAAAGTTGGTGCCTGTTTTCCTGTCATTTCTGCATATATTGCCGAGAAAATGGACACTTACCTACCTTTTAGTAAAAAAAATTATCTGCCAGGGGGGTCACCGTGAGCGCAAGCTGCGTTCGACTTCAGCGTTCTAGAATGATGTTCTTTCGAAATGTCCCCCCTGTGACGTAAGCAGTTTATGCGATCCGTGAAAGTCGAATGGGTCTATTATTCTTCCCTTTTTCATCTACTTCTACGATCTATACCCCATAGGAAGGCCTGATGGGGGCTCATATTAACTGGCTAAAAGTACACACCAGCATGGGGTTAACCCTCATGTACTGAGGCCATCCTGAGTCAGTCATACAGAAGGCTGTCATGTTAGTGCGTGACACATAAGGGTCTCCCCTGCGCTGTCCCATCAACACTGCCTGGATCTGGGGCTGGGTCCTCTTCAACTCATGTAAGGCTTCCTTATAGTCTCCTGACAGGGTGTACATCTTAAGGTTGTACCTGAAATAAAGTCCACATAAGTCTTGAGAAGCCTTAAGACAAAACTTTAAAAGAAACTGAATTTCATTATCAAGATTTGTGACTTTTGGAAGAACACTAGAAAGATAACATTAGTCAACACTAGAAAGATAACATTTGCCATTACCAAATGCATGATATACATTCACATATGGTCTGCTCTGTTGATTCTTACCCACATACATTCATGTGGTCAGACAGGAGTATAAATCCCTCCTACTATAAAATTGCAACATTATGTAACCCAACATCAGTTACCATGGTGAGAGATGTCAACAAAGCAGGTCAGAGGTCAGTGTTTGGAATGGAAGAAGAAGAAACGTAGCAAAAACAATATGTTTTCCTTCGGTAAACATAATTCTAGGCTTGAGAAGCCTTAAGACAAAACTTCAACAGAAATTGTAATCAAGATTTGTTACTTTTTAAAGAAGAAGGAGTTCTTTAAGATCCTCATGAGTCACGAACCACAAAATATTTACAACTCCCTTTTGCCTGTTCATGCATCTCACAGTCATGATACCAGATCTTCTGCACATAACTTTAGATTACCAATACCTAAGTCCAATAGCAGAAAACGCTCATTCCTGTATCGTGCAGTCGTGCTCTGGAACGATCTACCATCTGACGTTAAGACACTGTGCGATGTTATCAGTTTTAAGAAAGCCGTTTCAAACAGTAGTAGTGTCACCTGATCCTTGACCCTTGCTTGCTATTTTTAAATTGTTAATATCTATGTGTATTTATTGTTAATGTGGTGTACATGTATGTATGTATGTATTTTTAAATGTTTCTACTATGTTGTAATTATGTACTCATGTAATTGTTTGAGCCTTGGAAGATTAGCCCTTCGGGGCTAAAAGGTTTCGAAATAAATGAAATGAAATGAGAGCAGGCTTTATATGCTAGTTACATCCATGTACTAGTACCTTTCTGCAGTTTTGCTGATGAAGTCTTCTGTCTCTGGAAAGGGGGAGGGTCTCTGTATGTAGAGCACCTGGAGCTGAGGCCGACCAACTGGGTATTTCCTGGAGTAACAACAAATGTGCTTCACACTCAAACACATCTAACGTCATTACCTACTAGTTACTCAAGTAACATGATCAGGGCTCGAAATACTGGGTGCATGTGCACCTTAGTGCACCCAAAATTAGAGCTGTGCACCCAATTTTTTCTGTGGGTGCACTGGTGCACCCAAATATTTTTGTAGGTATTTTTGTACATATCATAATTATGTATGATATTATGCAGGATATTCCTGGCATGTAAGTGTAAAAAATAATTATAAAATCTAACTTCAAAAATAAGCTCCCATTTTAGATTCAAGCTTTAAGAAGAGGAGCAGTAAGATCTGTAATTATGTTGTTTTATTTGGTGCACGCCAAAAATTTTTTGTGCACCTAATTTTTTAGATTAGGTGCACCAGTGCACCTATTCCCAAAAATGAATTTCGAGCCCTGACATGTATATCTTCAATTTATCATGTTGGCAAGTTCACCAATGTAAATTGGTAGAAAGAATCAATGCACGCTGATTTGAATACTGACGTAAATAAACAAAGGCTCAAACAAACAAACAATAACTGTATTCTTTTGAAATCCTTACTTTGCTATTGCAGCATGTATAAGATGCAGCAGTGCTGTGCAGTCCTTCCCACCGTTGAAACTCACACACAACTCTGGAACCTCATACTTCTCCAGACACTCCTCAACTACTGACAGGGCTGCTCTGACTAGAGAATAAACAACAGAAAAACCAATCAACAGTCATGTACTGTGTTCACTGTTGGTATAACTATAAAAGTATAAGCAGTTAATTTGATTTTTTTTTCTTTGATTTTATTAGCTTGCACATAACCAAAACAGACAATAATAATACAAAACAAGGATAAAACAGGTGCAGGAGGAGGGGAGAAGCATGGAATGCTTATACAAGGCCCTCCTCCTCTAAACTATACAAAATTAAATATATGGATATGGATATAAATAAATGGAAATAATACAATAGAAAATGGAAATAATACAATAAGGATAATCAAATAATGTAAGGTATAAATTAATGACAATGAAATAAGGTAATGTAAGTTATAAATACAGTGCAATAATGATGATGATAATAATTGGTGTGAGTTAAAATAAGAGAAAAACACTAAATGAAACTACTACAGGGGGCTATACTAGGTTCGTTTATCAGATGGTTTTTCAGAGCTTGTTTGAGTGAGAGAAGAGACAAGGTAGGATTCTTTAGGGCTGGAGTTAGTTCATTCCATAAGGTGACACCTTTGTATCTAACCGACATTTGGGCAAGAGAAGTTTTTACTAGGGAAATATGAAAATCGGAACGTTAAAAAAGAAAAGCTACTAGTACTTTACAAGTTGGTATAACATGCTTGAAACTTATGTATTTTCAGCAATTCACCAGGCCCTCATACATGGCTAAGAATATTACCATAATTCTGTTTGCATCGATATCAGGCATTGAACCTAACATTCAAATCAATGAAAGTTTAAGCACTATTTTCCCAAGATTACATGTACAATATACAGTTTTTGAATATTCACTAATTTAATGTATATGCATTTGTACAATCCTGGTAAGATTTACCTTGTACTTAAAAAAATGTACTGTCTATCATTCAAATCAATGAAAGTTCAATTGCTATTTTCACAAGATTAATGTCAAGAGTTTTTGATTATTACATTTATTTAATACATTGTATCTGTACAATCCTGGTAAGATAAGATTTGTCAATTTTTATTGCATTTCATAGACCTCTTAGGATTAGGTGCCTTAAATGCTGTCAGAAATCCTGTGAAAAACTATAAAGCGTCGGTTACAACCCGCCGTACGTGCATCTGTGTGCTGTCTACGTGCAAAAACGTGGGCAAATGTAGGGGATCTGTAAGTGATGATTACCGCCTCCGTACGGAATCCTATGGATTTGGGAGTACGCAGAAACGCCGTAGAACTTTAAGTGCATGTAAAACTTTTTTTGCGTGCGGTCTGCGGATTCACCACCCGTACGTGCGAGTATGGGCGGCGCGCGTGCGACAGACGTGGCATGCAGTCCACACTCTTACACCTTGCACAACCGTGCGACTGACGTGCATTGATGCCACTCCTTCCCCACGTTTCCAGAAAAACGTAGCAGATGTGACCTCCCAATAAAACGTACGGACAAAAGTCACACAGCGGGTTGTGACTGATGCTTAAGCTAGTATAACCATGGTATAACCTACCCTTGCTGCCAAGCTGATCTCCATCTTTGTCTGCCAGTCCATACACCTCTTGTGCTGCCTGTCCAACAGGATCTCTCTCTACATAGTCCACTACTTTATCCTGCGGCAGCAGACTGAGCAGATGTTGGTGAGCTTCCTTCAAGTCATCATCTGATTCTGATTCTAGAGTCAGTTTCACCCTGTAGTAGTTGTTGTACCAGTTCGGATAGGAGCCCAGCTGTACTTTACTGTGGTATTTGGCATCAACGATATTTAGGTATGGAGCAATGGATGTCTCATCTGCACTGACAAAAACCTCCTTGAAGTGAAAGGTAACATCCCTGTTAGAAAAGACGTTCTCTAACATGGTCAGGGCTTTCTCCATCAGGGCTGGGACCCCAGGAAAGACGAAAACGTTGCGTACGTTGATGATGGGAAAGCGGGATTTCTGCTTTGTCTTGCTGTCGTAGCCAAAGAGGAGTTTTGCGCTCGCCGGTACGAGGGCCATCTTCATGCGAGGGGAGGACATGTCGCTGGCGTCTGCTCCGAGGTACTTCTGACACAGCTCCACGAGTTCTGGGTTGGGTTCCAGTTTCTCGCCAAACGCGTCGGCGACTCCTTGGAAGGTGAGATCGTCGTGAGTGGGCCCTATCCCCCCCGCCGTCAGGACGTAGGTGTAACGTTCAGAGAACTGCGCCACTTCGTCTGCTATGGTGGGGAGGTCATCTCCAATCACAGACACACGCTCAACTTTCACACCCAGGGAGTGGAGTTTTCTGGAACATGAAATATTACATCTTAACATACATGCAAACTACATAAATACGTTGAGAATTCAGATGTAATTGTATCAGGCTTGATCAATATTGCATCTAATACTGTAAATCACAATTTTTTTACAGTGCTTTCACATTCACAGTTTCCGCAGACACTTCTGTACCGCGAATATACATGTAGAAGTCAATTCTGTAAACTAAACTTATTATTACTGTGAACAAATAATTCACCGGCTTCTCTTCACCTGCTACCACCACAATGTCCATTTTTCTTAGGCTGCAAACTTTTGCCACCGTGAACATAAAGTGATTTACAGTAATTAAATTCAGACACATCTGCAGATGCTTAATGAGAAATTTTAAGAATGTAGCAATAGGATCACCATAACTCTGGGCAGACAGACAAACCAACGGGCTCAGTCACCTAAAACTATACTTCCGTACCCGGAAGTAACAAGGAAACGTTAGGACTTTCTACCCCATGTACCCCAACATCTGCTTGGAGAGTTACGGCGTGGGGTGTGGGAAGGTGGTGGCGCCGAGGGAGAAGCTACTAGTAATAGTAGTGAAACACTCCTACAAGTCACGGACCTGCAGATGAAGTACGTGTTGGTGTCCTGTGTGTAACCCTTCAGGATCTCATCCACCAACGGGCTCCGTCACCTACTACTAAAACTATACTTCAAGCTTAAAACGTTAGGACTTTCTACCCCAACATCTGCTTGGAGAGTTAAGGCGTGGGGGTCTGGGAAGGTGGTGGCGCCGAGGTAGAAGCTACCAGTTCTAGTAACTTGTGAAACACTCATACAAGTTGTGGGGTCGTGCGGCGCAGCGGTAGCGCTTTCGGCTCAGGACCTAGAGGTCCTGGGTTCGATCATCCCCACCCATGTCACCGGAAAGGCACTTTACACGACTTTCCTCACTTCACTCAGGTGTAAATGAGTACCTAGCTTCGGTTAGGGACGTCCCTCGGATAGGACGTAAAATGGAGGTCCCGTGTTTGGGGAGAGCCACACCCCACGCACGTTAAAGAACCCACCACACCTTTCGAAAAAGAGTAGGGGCATGCCCCGGTGTGCGATGGTACAAATTCTACAATCCGGAGTCTTGCCAAGAATTGGCATGCCAGAATGATCAATATGATGATCGTGGGCATTAAAAGGAAGAAGAAGAAGTTGCGGACCTGCAGATGAAGTACGTGTTGGTGTCCTGTGTGTAACCCTTCAGGATCTCATCCCCTATGATGATGACCCCGGCCGTGGTGTGGTGCCGGGTCTGGCTGTTCGCGGGCGCCGCCATGACTGCACGACTCGGGCGAAGGTGACTCCAGACGACTCCGATACGGAACAAGGCGCGCCCGGACACCAGCGGGAGGAGAGTGGACATCAATCGCTACACAGACTCAGTTAAACATTGACCGAAAACCGAGTACATGGTCCAAGTTCTGTACACCGACTTTATACAACGAGTCTGACTTTTAACCTTTAACCTGGACTATCCCATTACCATTGTTGGGTAAGACAGGTCGCAGTAAAAAAATGGGTAAACCAATGCATGAACAGATGTTTACATCGTGAGTTTATCAATCTTGATACTCAAGTATTGTAAAGTAATGTTCTAAACGATCGTTAAAGCCGCCCAGCTTTGTCGTGCTGGAGAAAATCCACGTGAGATGTCTGAGGTCAACTGAGGGTCATCCAGCCAGGGTGTACAGAGGTGAATCCAGGCCCGAGCTGTTGTCAGTAACACCGTCCTGCTGCTCGGGTGAGTATTTCAGGGTGCCCGGACAGGTTAATGATGATGATGATGATGATAATACCTTTATTGTACATTCATGCCACGACGGGCTAGGTACAGGTCAAGATATAACAGACACATAACAAACGTATGTAGAAAATTGGAGATAAGAGATGCACTACTTGACTTAGACATGATGTTACATACATGTCGAACATACAAGGGTACTATACTAGGCTAATACAAAGTGTTCTAGTCACTGAGCTAATATAGAGAGGTCAACTTCTCGCTTTTTTGTACAATGGAAAATGTGGGAACAGATCATGTTTGTGATACAGGGTTTGTCTAGCTAGACGCATCAAAAATATAAATCAATCATTTGCACATAGGTGTTCAAAGTATGGGAACTTCTCTTTGATATGATTAAAAAGGACAGATCTTTCATTAGAATATAAAGTACAGTCTAAAATAAAGTGTTGTTCATCTTCTATTCTATTCATGTTACAGTATTGACAGAGTCTATTCTGGAGAGGAATGCGGTTGTGTCTTCCGGTTTCAATGAGTTTTAATTTGTGGCAACTGCCAGTGTGTTACGGTAGGTTAACATTCCTCATTCGTGAACTCAAATATTTTTGAAGAAAAAAATGTAACGTTACTTCTGCTAATATTATACTCCTGTCACGTGTGTGAAAGGACAGAATGAGAACTTGTGAACGTCGACGTCATTGAATCATTACAAACATTAAAGCGTCCGGGCTAGATAATTAGCATAATGCCCTTAAGGGGTAGGGTTAGAAGCCTTAGAAGTCATCTCGTGAAGGAGGGGACAGTACAGGGGTCACCTAGTCTCTACCAGACTCCTTTGCAGGCTGAATAGATAGTAGAAATCGGCAAAGGGGGAAATCATTGGCCAGAGGAGTTGGTCGGCCATAGAGGGTCCAGCTTGCCTGCATCTACTATTTATTCAGCCTGCAAAGGAATAGAGACTAGGGCTAGGGGTCACCGTGCATCACAAGTTTTTCAGGCTATAAAAATGTACCATAATGTTTTGTTTCTTTTTCTCATGGTATAATATATGTTATAACTGCAGCCGTTGGAGGGTGTAATTCATAAAGATATAAGATTCTGTTTTGATTCACATTATTACATTGGTAAAAGATGAGAATGAATAGACACAACGATGTAAACAACAAGTGTGTTCTATTAGCACTTACATTTTGGACTTTGGTCCTTATCTGATTTGTTTCCTGATTTGTCATTGCCTGCTTTAGTGTGTCGTCAGTTTGTCAACAGTGTATAATGGCCCTCAGCACAGCATAGTTGTCCAGGACCCCACTTTTTTTTTAAATTCAGCATACAATAAACAAAATAACTTAATAAGGGTACAGAACAAAGTGACGACGGGCTCAAGTTAGGTGTTAACGCCGCCACTTGTACGAATAAAACTAATACTACTAAACAATGCAAAACACTAACCAAGAATACATGTAAAAGAAAAGTCGAATTTATGAAGCGAGAGTCCACATTCCCCACCCAAAAGATGAAAAGGACACAAATAGAATTAAAAACGTTTTGTTGGTAAAATGTAATTTTGGGCGGTTGACATAATGTTACAGTTAACCCGAAAAGAATAAACCGGGGGACCGTTCAAAATTAAAAGTTGTTTCGCTTTATCTGAAAGAGTGTGTAAGTTAACAGAGTGTCCTAAGATCCCAGAAAGTTTGCTGAGGAGTTCTGAACGGTGGAAGTTATGTAAAGGGCAGTGTGATAGGTAATGAGTAACTGTTTCGTATTGACACCCGCAGCTACAAGCAGGGCCCCACTTACAGGGCCCCACTTACAGGGCGAAGTGTTTGTAAAAGGTCACATCGCCAGCAATCTACTCCTAGAATGGTAGTATCATGGCTGAAATGTGCGTGTGTTTTAGGTACAGATTGATTTTGGGCTCAAAACATGGTTCCGTGTATCCTTGCGCGGTGACAGTGATTAGTCATCATTGCTTGTGTGAGCGGGTCGTGAGAAAAAGTGCCAAATTTTCCCTTGATTACATGTATATATGTCTTCTTTTTTTTTTTACAATCGGAGCATTACGTTTCATATATTTCTAAAGGTTACCCCGTTTGTGATGGCTTTTGTGCGATGAGCACAATGGCAAATTGATTTCGTGAATAAGTCGCCCAAAAAGTACCGAGATTTCCCTACCAACTAGTGGGGCAGATAACTGAAATAATCTTTCAAATTGTGATACAAGCACCAAACTTGGTACAAATACTCATGAGACATTACTCTTTTGAAAAAGTACGCGGGCCACTTGATTTGACTTTTGGTGCCCCCTAACGCCTCTGTAGGTCCAACGCAAGCAGCTAGAGACACCAAATTTACGTCGCTTCTTCCTTACTTTAACAGCTTTCTACCACATAAAACTCATGACTTTAGCATGTTTAGAACAGGAGATACAAAGCCCGGAAGGTCGGCTGCAGTACCAAAAGTCAAATCAAGTGGCCAGCGTACTTTTTCAAAAGAGTAATGTCTCATGAGTATTTGTACCAAGTTTGGTGCTTGTATCACAATTTGAAAGATTCCTCCAAAATTTGATGTTATCTGCTCCACTAAACGTCAGACACTGTGTTGACGTCACGGTGACAGGAGATGTCGGAACTTTTGTTTCATGACCCACTCACACAGTCAGCCGTGGTGCTCGATCCATGAATGGACAACTATATATACCCTTACTGTGTACAAATAGGTAAATATATCAAAGAATGTTTAAACCTTAGAACAAGTAGTATTAGTTGACCCATCTATTGTTCTGTACATAGGATATTTTCGTTGCACCCATGTATATTTGTCTGTATATCTACATGTCTTAGACCTTACGAAAGTCGCTGTACTTTTGTTGTGTCAATAAAGTTCTCTGTATATACATGTAGCAAACAGGGCGGCGTTATGAGGGGTAGTGGTTAGGCTTAAAGCACATTGATATATGATACTAGTACAGTGGAATTCATAATACATAAAGTAACAACGGAGACATAGTCAACTAAACTTTAGTTTCCAAACTTTCTGTGTGAGGGTTTTTCTTATTGACTCTTTAGTCAAACTGACAAAAACTTAGAACATCTAACTGATCCCAGACAATTGTGAAGTTATGTCTGATTGTTGTTATTTTGCCTTGCAGATTAATAAGACACCACCCATCATAATGACAGCAGAAGAATCAGACTCCAGCGTTATTGGCTACGCTACCTTCCTTCACAAGAATCGAGAACTAAGGCTTTACCAGGGAGGGCGCCTCGTCTTGCAAGGTGCTCTCTGCACAGAGATAAAGGCTAACCAGTTACCTCGGCTGAAGAAGCCGCGCAAACCAGGGGAAGCCGGTTTCCAGTGGCAGTCCACAGGTCTCAACATTGGGCACGAGCAACATGGCGATATCGACACGTACAGTGTTAGATGGAGCAGCACCACGGATCCAGACTTCCCGCTCAGGGACGAGTTTCAGATGGCAGGCGCCCACTGGTACGGCTGTGGCACCGTGCACCAACAGCTCTGGCCCATCGAGAAATGGCAAAGGGACATCTCCCCTTTTGTCTCCCCTTTTGGTTACATGATTGAGCGATATTGGTTATCGTCGTTGGGCGTGGCAATAGTGGTTGGCAACGAGGTGCCGTTATTTGTAGGTATGAACAGCAGGGGAAACGGGAAGTTGTCATTCTTGGCTCAGTATAATGATTCCCCGTACAATAATCCGAAAGGGCGCAGGCCTTTTCTAGAGTACACCGTCATCTCAGGCCCCAGTCCGGTGGTTGTGCACAAGTTTGCCATGAAGAACTTCTTCTCTCTTCCTCGCGGCGTACCGGATGAGCGCATGTTCCGTTCGCCCGTGTGGTCCACCTGGGCGCGCTACAAGGTGCACGTCACCCAGCGCGGCGTGCTGGACTACGCCGGGGAGATCTCCTCCCACGGGTTCAGCAACAGTCAGATAGAGATTGACGACGACTTTACAACACAGTACGGCGATTTCAGGTTCAACTTGAATAAGTTTCCAGACGCTAAGGGGATGGTAGACCAACTCAAGGCCGATGATTTTCGCGTCACCTTGTGGGTTCATCCTTTCTCGAACTTGGACTCGCAGTCTTTCGCAGAGGGTCGTGATAAGGGGTACTTCCTGGGTTCTCACGATGAGGCGGAGGGCGCCGGGGTCAAAGCCGTGGAATGGTGGAACGGATCAGGAGCGGTCGTCGACGTGACCAATCCGAAAGCGCGGGAATGGTATTGTAGCCGCCTCCGCGACTTACAGCAAGAATCCGGCATCGACTCCTTCAAGTTTGATGCCGGGGAGAACCTGTACTTACCGCCGCACCTGTCAGCACACCAACCCATGGTCAATCCGTCTGACTTCACCACAAAGTATGTTCAGACGGTTGCTTCATTCGGACCCATGGTCGAACACGATGGTCAGATTTGGGCCCAAAAGTCCCAATCCGCTACTATGGAGATCGAATCCCCCGAACTCGCGAATCTTGTTCGATATGACGTCATTCGAATAGAGCGGGCGTTCGATCTGGGGTTACCCGCGGTCATTTACAGTAAAGCCGCTACAACCGGCTACTTCAAGCCCTTTTTTACTTGGGAACCACGGAACAGGAAAAATCCACCTTTCCACAAATATGAACCGTTTTCAAAACATTACATCTATGCCGTGATTTTATTGTGAATATGTAACATGTAACGAAGCTACTGCCGTCATCGTGGGTGACCTTGAAGGTCAGAATTCTTGTTGGCGCTGTTATAAAATCCAGGTCCCCATATCCAAGTGGCACAGCATGCGTGCAAACATGGTATTTTAACCACTCCCAAAAATCGCTCAAATTACCTCATTGAGGGCTTGGGACAACGATTTCCGCAGATTTCTGTCTTAGGGATTTTTAAATATGGCCGCGATTATGAATTATCGGTATTTAAAGTTAAAACACTGCGTTTTTAGCTCTTCTTTTGACTGTAAGTCGAGTTTTAGTTAAAAAATAAAAAATCCTAAGACAGAAAGTTTAAATTTACTGTAATATTTCTAAAAATCCAAAAATCTAACCTTATCTTTAATTTTCGGGGCCTCTTAAAATCAGTTGTTTGGTTCTCGTGAACCCTTTTTGAAATCCGAAATTGATCTCATTTGGAAGCAAATGTACACAAAGTGGAGCAAAGGCAGTGCAAGAATAACATTTGAGGTAAACAAAATCACTTATTACATTTTATTTTGACGAGTATTTACTCTCCAATTACTTTTGTTTATTTTCAAATTTTACCCGTTGCCCCCGGGCCGGCCTGGGACTCCCGCGCGGCCACGTTCGAACACGTTCTGTAACCCGATACCTCCCTAGTAATGCGACTTTAGCCTAGCAACCGACCGCCGTGGAAGTGCGTGTAGGTTACCGCAACCAAGATCTGCCGATCTTCGTCCGTATGATGGACAAGGACTCGAACTGGGGTTACGACAACGGACTGCGGACCGTCATCCCATCCGCACTGACGCTTAGCATCCTGGGATATCCCTACATCCTCCCTGACATGATTGGCGGGAACGCGTACGAGGCAGGGTTCCACGAGACGCGGCTGCCAGACCGGGAGCTGTTCATCCGGTGGGCCCAGGTCACTGCGTTCCTGCCGGCTATGCAGTTTTCCATCGCCCCGTGGCAATACGACGAAGAAGTGGTGCAAATCTCGAAGCGGTACGTCGAACTACACGAGAACTTCGTAAAACGCCGCTCGTTCTGAAGTTCGCGGAGGAGGCGATGAGAGACGGGAGCCCGATCATACGGCCGCTGTGGTGGCTGGCTCCGAGCGACGAACAGGCACAGGTCGAAGACTCAGAGTTCTTGATCGGAGACGAGGTTCTTGTGGCACCAATCTTGGACCAAGGAAGGACCTTTCGTGACGTGTACCTGCCGCCTGGCGGAACGTGGCAGGACTACAGGGACGGCTCCGTGCATGACGGAGGACAAACCTTAAGAGATGTTTCAGTGCCTTTGGGAGATGTGGCATATTATGTAAGGAAGGGGTGACAGGATTGTGCTGAAAATAATACATAAACTTACTGTAAATATTGTACATTCAGCTTTCCACAATGAGCTGTAGTAGAATGGCTCTGGACGGATTAATTCTAAAGGCACCCAAAGCTATTTCAGGGCAGTAAATCTGGATTTCCAAAATAACTTTTCTGGTCATTTTTTCAAATGAAAGAAAGAATGATAGACCTTTATTTGTTGCACGTTTATGCTCTTACAAGCTACGTTTAGGTCATGGGGAAATATAACAATGATAGCTTACTGCAACAGACTAGTATGCCATACAGGACGAGAAGAAGTTGAACCTGTACATAATAGTTCACCTCAGCTGAATTACTATGTACAGGTTCAACTTTTTCCCGATTCCTAAGGTAGTTGTAGATGTATGAACATATTAATGGAGCTCATGATAAGTAACATGGTTTGTCTAGTTCAATATAGTATACGAATTTTCTTTTGTATTTAAATGTCGAAAACTACGAAACTTTTCTTGTTACAATTAAACAATTAAAAAATGATTTTTTCCTCTCATTGCTGTATAACTAGGCTAGGACAAGATATATGTGAAAATTTACAAGACTTTAGACTTAATTATAAGACTTCAAACATGTCCAGACGTCTTTACATATATTTAGAATGACGCGTAAGATACCTGTTGACAGAGAAAGGGTCTACACGTGAACCTCGTTGAAGCGCCGCCTATCACTTCTCGTGGGTAATGCGTACATCTGATCACCATCCACCTTCCCTTGGCAACTTTGACCTTTTACCCAGCTGTTCACCTGCTTACATGTAAATATCACCAGCCTACAAAATGATACAAGGACATACCTACAAAATATTCTCGTTTAAATGATTGTAACAGTAATGACATTGGCGGTAAACATTGTTTGTGTTTTATACTGCACTTTATTGCCCCAAATAATAATATGTAAATATCTTTCCCTCCAAAATGAAAATCCTGTATTTTCCTGTCCTTTCTCATAACATTGCTGATTCTCATTGGTCCTGGACATTTATTCCTGTCCCTACCAAATTATGTTTCGTTTTTACTATGAAAACATTGTTTGAAGCACATTACTATGCTAACATATAGAGTCTATTGGTCGAAACATGTGCAAAGACTTATCGGTCGAAACATGTTGTAGATCTAGAACACGTGGGAACAAAAGGAAACGTCGTGACCGGAAAGTTTAATTGAAAGCGACATGATCTACTGCGATAGTTCGCCGTGAGCTAACCTCTGACCAATGAGGGCTCGCCATTGTCAATCCCCGTGACGTATTCCCGGAAAAGTTCGTTGGCGAAGACTGCCGAGGATGACATCATCACTCGGGCGGCGCGAGGAAAAAGTGAGTAGCGGTTGAGAACACACCCGGTCGTCCACGCGAGCTACACCAAGTCAGGTATGTACCCAAGCTACGTACTGCTATTATTGTATCTTGTCGTTTGACAGTTACTATAAGTAACTCTATTACTTAGTAGTACTATAAGTATTCTCATAGAAAGACTGTAAACTTGTGATGAGTTAGAGTTCCCCTACCGGTTGTGAGCATCATGGTGGGTGACCGTTAGCGTGGACCTAGCCCCCGGTGCTGTCACGTTGTGGCGGCGGCGCCATGTGCTTTTGCTCCGGGTCCGCTGTAGTGGTGAAACACTCCCCATGTTTGTTCTGACCAGACAAAGCCATCACAGACTTACAGTAGTCAAGAATTAGTGGCAGAGGCCTCAATTGCCGGTTGTTGTGTAGGATACAAATATGTTGTATTTTCGGTACTATAGTGAGTCGATCAAAAGACACTTTCTGAGTTGCACCAGGCGGAACAGGGTCGCGTGTATTGGTTACAAACACATAAGGCATTGTTTCAACTGGTCGAATTCTTGGAATTTTTCGCTGGACAAATTCGTCTGGTGCAACGGCAGTTTGCACGTAGACTGACCCCGCCCGTCTGATTGGCCGTGTTTTTCTATAGCAGCAGCAGCAGGAAGGTTACGGTGCCGAGGTCTCGGGAAGATAAACCTAGTTTCAGCGATCGGAATGTCACGATTGTTGCCAAGTTTAGCTTCCACGTCTGGATCGACGATACAGTCATTGCCGCTGATGTGATTTTCTGTGACATGCATGACTTGGCTGGAATAAAATAAAAACCCCACGAAATTCCTCCGGCCGCTTCTTCCTGTTTGGTATCTAGTAGTAGCCGACACGCATATGTCCCAAGGGGTGTCTCATGATGGGCTCAACAGATGGAAGATATTCCTTTCCCTCCCCAACGGACAAATGACTCACTGTACAAACACTAGTTTTATTCACTGGCTATCGTATGTTCCTCGTATATTCTGTAGACAACAAAGAGTACGAAACGACGTCCTTTCAACTTTGAATAAAATGCAGAAATAATGAACGAATTCAATTTACTCTTTCTTATCGTGCACAACGGTGCAGCAAATGAGGCCAGAATTTCACTTTGCACGTAAATATTTAGACAACGGCCGTACGGTTGTGAGATGGTGCGATGTTTTCGCTTCCGCCCTGCAGTGTCTGGCCTGTTTCCCCCACCCTCGCTGATTGAAAAATCTCCGCATTCCTCTCTTCACAGGCAAGCAGACACCCAAGCCCTCCACCTCTCTCACGGCCTATTTTCAAGCAATACGGTAACAACAGTAGGTAAGTGTTGGAGCTGTGTGTAATCCAGGATTTTAAAGTGTGTAAGTCTGTCATGCATTGATGTGACCCATTTTGCAGGTCTGAAAAGCTCGCTCGTGGAACAGGGAAGTAAAGTAAATGGATGAAAAGAAGGAAGGGCGAGCTTTTGTGTGAGGGGACCGGCGCTGGGCGCGGTAGGTCGCCGTCTCTACTCCACACTGAAAATTGTTTCACCCCCACCCATTTAGCCTGAGAACAGTTGAAAAGAATCGGCGTGCTTTTTTCCAGGGATCAGGGGGAGCAGAGGGAAAAGGTCGCACCAGGAATGAGATGATTATAGGGCTGCTCTGCTGTCTATAGTGTTGTTGTCTCTACTGGAAACGCACGGTTCCAGAGACGAGCGTTGGCCAAGTTTTTGACATGTTTTGTCTGGCCTTCTTTGTCCTTTTGAAACAGCGTGTTCATCACGCGACATGTTCATAATGCACCAAGTGTCGTCTCTCGTTTCTAAATAATCTTCAAACAGATCCTAAAGTGGCAAAAGACAGTATCAAATTGACCAGACCCTCTCTGGCCAATGGATACTGCCTGGCCAATTCGATCCTATCAAGGAGGTTCAATCATTCGAATGTATTGAACCTCCTTGATCCTGTCTTTTGCCACCCTAGGATCTGCTTGGAGATTAGTTTCTAAACATTTTCTGGGGTTAGGATCACTCCGTAGTACGTCAAGTACACTCCAAGCAGAGGTTTGGGTTTTGGGGGTATTTTAGCGTGTTTTTCGGCTTTTTTATCGGGGTTTCTCTTTTGCACTTAATTTTTTCCCCACCAAACCCAACAAAATTCAGTGCAAAAGAGAAATCCCGATTAAAAAAGCCTAAAACACGCTAAAAATACCCCCAAAACCCACACCTCTGCTTGGAGAGTAGTACACAAGGGCGTAACACCAATTTCTGAACAAACTTGTAGCAGTCTAATGCGTTGCAGTCTCTCTAGTCTTTTCAAACAGAGTTACACCCAAGGCAAGAACTTGCACGTGTTATTAGTGGAACATCTGGGCTTTGCGTGTACTCTTAGCATTCTGCCATTCAGCGGACATTGGGACACGCTGGAATATTGGATGACTAATCCGTTTCATTTTCATGTGACCTTCTTTGCCTGTGCTGCTCAGCATACTAGGAAAGGTTAGTTTCAAAAGACTATTTAATATTTTGTTATGCCTCGACGTGAATCTATAGTGTCTGTTGAGCTGAAATATTTTATAATCAGTGAGTAACTGTAGTGCCCATGCATGTGCTATTGGTAGCAAGCAAATCCAGACAAGCATATACTTTCTTGCATATTATGTACCCCTAATTCCCTGACCTTGCCACAATACTCTGCCCATCATGACCGAGGTAACGATGTGTCGTGTAGGCTACCGCAGTGAAACGTGAAGTGCACACCGCTGTTCTATAACATTCCACGTTGCCATGCCACCCCTGCTGCCCTCCCCCACATAGATGTGCTATGTTAGACAAAGGACGTCTCATTTCCGCTCTTATCTGTGAATTGGTCTCTTCACCAACCCCCACACGAACGGAGAGACATCAGCGATCAGTAGCCTCTACCAGGCTTCAGAGAGCGCCAAAATGTACTGTTTTATGTCTATTTGGTCAATTTTACTATTTCCAGCCGAAATAGCAGCGAAAAGGCGTGGCAGGACAGACCGGGAGGGGAGGGTGTGGGCCGCGGATGTCCAGTCAGTGGGAGATCGTTTGCTACTAGAGCCTGCCGGAAAATAATCCCCTCTCCTTGTTTATCTCGCCAGTAGCAAAAACCACATGGCGACAATAAGATAACCAGGATCTACAAATAAGCAAGAATAAAATAGCAGGTCCTTCCTGTGACCTACTAATATATATAATGTTCTTGGCCTATCTCATGATTTTGCGTCATTGAAAAAAGGACAACTCTTCTGTCAGTTGTCCTACATTTGGATAGTTAGTTAGAACCTGGTTTGTTTATACCGATTCTCTTGAGTTGTACGCTGTGTGGAAGTAAGTGACACATGCTGTTCATTAGTAAGTTACTCCAGCGGTAGTTCTACGTCTGTGGTTAGTAATTTGTAATTGAAGACCGCTTGAGATAGACACATATCTGTGGGACCAGCTGATGATAGGCCTAGGGGAGGGCGAGTAACCATCTCCATACTCCTAACTCCATCGGGCTACTCGTGCCACTCTCCCGCAGCGGTAATTTAGATAAGCGGGCGCGCTGATTTTGGCCACCGAAGGGAACTGGCTAACGGCCCGGTATCCAGTCTGACTCCCAGGGTAGCAACAACTCGCTGTTCTCTTATCTTCACGGGGCGATGGGAATGCACGGGTAGTTAATCTTTCCCTGATTGGTTGCAGTAACATCGTGTTATCTACTTTAACAAACAAGTGGAAGTACTGTCCAAGGTTTAACTTCTCCCCGTTCTTCAGTAACGTTAACGTTGTCATCGCTTTGCCCATGGCCATGAACATTGTTATCATAGGAAACGTTCTGTCTCGTTTTGCACAAAACACAGGTCATTGACCCCTTGTCACTAAAGGCGCACCTCGCCACTCATCGCTAATCTCCAAGCAGATCCTACTGTGGCAAAGCAGAAACCATTGGCCAAGGGAGTAACCATTTATATGACAGCCACCTATTGCCATGGTTTCTACCTCCATGCTATTGCTGAGCCCGAGCCCGTAACATTAGGTAGTAACTTTCAGTCATAAAAAGCAGAAGAGCCTCACCTTATGTACTAGTATACTACTCTAGTAGAATGAAGGAGGAAAGAGTCGTTTTAAAATCAAAGACACACACTGACACAGTATCTGATTCGTCAGTCAAAGATATTCGCCCACCTCGCTTTGTTACTTTTATTTGCTATGTAATATCATCACTCAAAGATATTCTCTACACAGGTCGGGTTGGTCGGAGTTTGAGGTAAGGTCATGTTGATTTGATTACATGGATGGCATCCGCGCGCGCATGAACTTTCGGCCGTTTCCAAAAAACAAAAAGTTTTCAACCGTACTGTAAAGCGTACAAAACAGTTGCAAAATGAGCAAATATATACCGTAAGTTGCAAAGAGAATATTTCAAAACGATACCTATGTCGCAGAATGCCAAAATCAAACCAAAAAAGACGAAAATGTAAAGAAATTAATATGAATAATAGATTATTCGCCAAACCATACTCTGTGTCCTTTGTTCAACCTTCATGACCACGTAGATTTCATATTGAAAGCAACTTTTTTTTTGCAAAACTTTTTTTATTCGCACGCGCGCATCAGTTTTGGGGTTCCCAGAGGATGTCATCCATATAATCAAATCAACATGACCTAAATTAAAATCGACGGAGATTTTTATTTCTTTCGACAATGATGGAAAGAAGTTATGTATGTAGCCCTAGCTGACACGAGGCACGCCTCAGCGGCCTGGGACGTGAATCAGATCTATGAACGGTAAAGTTAGCTCTCCGCTGTGTAGAGTTCCGGCTTGAAGGTTTCCATATTTGGTGACGTGGATGTGTGTTACTTCTGTAGTCATTACATCATACACACGGGTGTCAGAGTCACGGGGCCTGCACCAGGCTAGCCTCTACCAGACTTGGGGAGGCGGCTGGAAAGAGTAGAAATCGGCCAAAATAGAGAAGTAAGCATGTCAAGGGAGTTTGTCTGTTGAGAGAACAGTTCGCGGCACCCCAACTGTTCTCTCAACAGACAAACTCCCTTGGCATGCTTATCTCTCTATTTTGGCCAATTTCTACTCTTTCCAGCCGCCTCCCCAAGTCTGGTAGAGGCTAGCACCGGGCCGTCCTGCGGGGGTACGGATCGTCGACTTCAGTATCAAAAGGGTCTAGCGTCTTTCACAGGGAAATTAAATCATGTCAATCAGAGTATGACAGCGGAAACTACTGTCCAACATGTAGCAGTACATGCATGTGTTAGGGTTGGGCCTAGGAAAATGTTGTGTTTTCGTAGCCTGGTTACCAAACCTTACTCTCCAAGCAGAGGTTGTGGGGGAATGATCGTTATATTTACCTTCGCCAAGAAGGTTATGTTTTCAGGGGCGTTCGTGTATGTGTGTGTGTGTCTGTAAACACGATAACTTGAGAAGGCCTTGATGGATTGTCTTGATACTTGGTAGATGGGTAGGTCTTGATGAGACCTCAAAATGATTAGATTTTGGGCCCCCTAGCGGCTTGTTATGGTACTGCAGCTGAACTTCCGGTTTTGATATCTCAAGATCCAGACATGCTATGGTGATGAAATTTGGATGGTAGGTAGCTCTTGTGCTCGGGAAGAAGTGACGTGATTTCAGGCCCCCTAGCGGCTTGCTCTAGAACTGCAGGGGGGTTTAAAGGACAAATGTTTAAAAGAGGATAACTCAAGAACCGATTGATGGATCATCGTGATTTTTGGTATGTAGGTAGCTTAAATGATGCTTGACATAATGATATTACAATTATGCGAATATTGATGTAATTTGCATAATTAATGAGGAAATTCTATAAATCAGCTGCATTCCATGATAGGAAGTTCAAGCTTGTAACATATGTTATTAAGAACGAGAGAAACACAGGCAAATATTGATTATGCAAATGAAGACTTAATTTGCATAATTAATGAGAAAATGTTATAATTGCGTAGTGGTAACTGCCTGGAATTTCATACTTGGGGTGTTTGAAAGTTAAGTGAAGGTGAACATAATTAAACATAACTTATTCAAATAAGGACCACATTTGCATAATTTATGAGAAAATGGCATTCTTTGTTAAGATAAGACTGTCTTTCGGTGGAGAATATGATCAACAGACTGATATAATTCATGCAATTGAGGATCCTATTTGCATAATCAGGGTGATTAGTATATTTCTTATTCATAAAGGCTAACATCATTTGGCGAAGGTATGAGATCGTGGAACTCTAGTTTTATATATGGCCGTTTTTTGTTTTTTTTTTGTCCTGACCCCCACCAACCGTCGGTGGCCGCGGACCTTCTC